GATGGTATCATGAGGTCTGGTGATGTTCTTGTGAGGTCTGGTGATGGTATCATGAGGTCTGGTGATGGTCTCGTGAGGTCTGGTGATGGTCTTGTGAGGTCTGGTGATGGTCTTGTGATGGTCTTGTGAGGCCTGGTGATGTTCTTGTGAGGTCTGGCGATGGTCTCGTGAAATCTGGTGATGGTCCTGAGCAGTTTCGACTTGGAACATGTCTCAACTAGCTAACACTGATCCCATGTATTACCACTTGTTTGTTTCTTTTGTATTTGTTGGTCAATATCTGTAGGAGGTAGTATTTCAAGTGGAGAATGTGCAATTGTACAGTGGCTATGTGCTACATGTAGGAACTGCAGTAGAAACCATTAAGCCTGGTGACAACCTCATGCTGTTTCTTAACAAGGTGAGTCAAGAAACCAGTCCAATGGCAAAACATTGATCACTTGTTGACTAGTGGTTGATTCCATGCCTTTGTGCTAATATTAAAGTGTGTGCAAAGTTGTTACAAAACCTCTTGTTCCTTGGTCATATTGGTGTTGTATATAGCAGCCTGTGCAACTTTTGACAGTTGACAAAACGGCAACCTTTGGGACCTTTTTTTAAAAAGCTGACCCAAGCCATCATCTTCAAGAGTGCACCCAACGCAGGGTAGCCCAGCACTGTTGCTTCATATTCCTCAAAGATAATACAGCTGATGGGATCATTAAATTAGGTTCCCTTTTGTTTGTTCCCAGGTTCGACGACAGAAGATAATGCGAAACCACACAGCGACCCACATACTCAATTTTGCCCTGCGGGAGGTTCTGGGTGAAACCGAGCAACGAGGATCACTTGTTGCACCAGATCGCCTACGCTTTGATTTCATAGCGATGGTAGGCCTGGTTTTTGTTGTCCCTTCTTGGTTTGTCATTTTACCTCAGCCGACCTTTGGCAGTGCCACAATAGTATTGCATTTGTCATAAGTGTTATATGTAGTATTCAAGTTTGCATTAATCATTTTATTAACCCTGCAAGCACTTTTAAAAACCTTCAAGGAAAGTTGGAGAATTTGGAAGGAATGTAAAGCCCAGTCTGTAATGTGTGATTCTGTTTGTCCCTTGCAAGTTAAAGTCCAAAAATGTTTCAGTGGATTCCTTCTCAGTGAAGGATTATATGAAAGAGGTTAGAACGAAAATGTTGGGAAAGGCGTCAGAACGAAATCTACCAGAAATAATTGGTCTTGTTGGCCATACACCTTAACAGCTTCTTTGCAACAGTTCAATCTGTTCAAGTGTCAGCCAAAAAGGACAGGTTCTACAGGGAGTCAGTGTCTGTCTAACGAAAAACAAGGCAATTATTTTTAAGTTCAGTAATTTGTAAAAAGCTTTTTTATTGAGACACTTACATGGACCTCTTTAAGGCTGAAACCCGCATGATGATCCATAGAGCTCATTATCAAAAGTGATTGACAGTGACAGATAGTAACCGCTGTAAAGGATGTGATCACATTGGTCAGTTCCTTAGATAGAGTGTACATGCAAGAACCTTCAATGTGTGGCGATACTTCACGTGAAATTCACGTGAAACAAAGATCTGCAGTGACATGATGTTGATTTTCATCGAGTCACTTTGCCATGGCAACACTTGCTAAGTTTGGCCCACTTTCTGTAATAGGGTGCCCTGGATCCCACGCAACTGCAGCGAGTCACCCAGATTGCTAATGACATCGTTGCCCAGAAATATCCTGTCTACAGGGGGCAAGTTCCCCTGGCAACTGTGAAGGCCACGGAGGGAGTGAGGGCAATGTTTGAGGAAGCCTATGGGGACCATGTGACCGTGGTTTCTGTTGCTGTTCCTGTTCCAGAGGTGTTTAAAGGTTCTGGTGCCATGCAGTATCCTGTGGAGCTTTGTGGGGGAATGTAAGTCTTTCACAGCCACAGATTTACAATAAAAAATGTTCAGTTTTGTTGAATTTCGCCACAAGTTTTTTTATCTTTTTTTTTTAAATTTTAAAATGATTGTTTACCTCTGCACTTTTACATTTTTGAAATGTATACAGACATTTGAGCTCACGAGTTGCTAAAATTCACAAAATTTGTAAAATATTCAAATTTGTATGTTCATATTTAAGAGGCTGCTGTGGAATTGAAGTATAATATGATTGAAAAAGATAAGTTTTCATAAACTATCAAGTTGTCCAAATCAGTGAGTTCAATAGTTTCTTTTTAAGGGAATAAGATACGAAAATAAACTTGGAAAGTTTAAAGTGATGAGCAGTTATCTATCAAATTGGGTATGTTTACTTTTATCATTTCAAATATTACTTTATCTGTTTTTGCTTTGCAGTAATCTGAATCAATTGTTTTTTTAACTTGTGCAGTCATGTGTGCAATACTGGCCACATCAAGAGGCTTTTAATCACTGCTCAGCGGCAGGTTAGTGCCGGTGTCCGAAGACTCACTGCCATCACGGGCAACGATGCACAGTCGGCTGACTATGTTGCCAATACCTTACAACAACGGCTGGCAGAAGTGGATAACCAGGTGAATGACTTAAAGTGGCTCAACTCAGTCAGGTCAACATGGTGGTGCTGACTTAGGTTGCAGTGCCCCCAGGAGCTGCTAGAAGGAAATACTGCTAAGCTAAAATTAACGGGAAACCAGTCACAGGCAGTACACGTTGTGTGTGGCATTTTGCTGGTAACCTGTTCTTGCTAAGCAGATAGTTTCCATACTTTGAAAGCAATAGCAGCTCCGAGAAATCGGTCTCTTTTCTCTCCTGCTATTTCTCATCTGAATCCAGCTCAAGCCAACATTAGGATATGTTTACTGTTTCTAAGGGATTTTATCCAGCATGTTTTGCCTGGGGTTATGGTCCTTTTTTGTAATCTTTAACTCCTGAGACTTTCCAAAATCCTCTGAAATCGTCCTTTTGGTTTCATCCAGATCTAGTGGTATTTCCCAAAAGTTGAATAGCTAACAACTTTAACAAGGTAATGTATGTGTTGTCCTTTGTCTTTATGAAATGGAATTCCAACAACATAGGTAAATATAAATACAAATTTGACATGTGACATGTTTCGTGCTATGTCTGGAATTGGAATGAAATTGAAATTCAAATAACATAGGCAAATAAAAAGAGGAAAACGAGCAAATCCAAATTTCATCTGTGTATTAATCTTTCTTTTTCGCAGCTGACATTGAGTCTACGTAGCGACACACTAGCCAAAGTCTCAAACATTAAACAGTCCCTGGATTCACTTTCTGCAACGTTAGTCACATCCAGGCTGGAAATCTGGCGAAAGGAAACCATTAGCCAACAGATTCAAGCCATGAGGGAGAAGATTAAAACTGCTGAAAAGATGGCTGAGATGTCAAAGATCAAACAGGCAAGGAATTCGAAGTACTCTTTATGATGTGGTTAAATCCGATTTGTGTGGATATGGGCAGAAAAGGAACGTGACCGTAATCTTTGATGGTTCACTTTGTAATACCTGACTTTGAAAACTGGAATGACAAAATTTAGCGGAAATATCAGTAACATTGAGGTATTTTAATGAAATTATACAACAGCTTTGCACATGAATGTGAAAGAAACAAAACCCACAATGCCCCTAATATTACAAAATGAGAGATGGAAATAAGGGTTAGTTGGACATGTCACAAAGCCTGCATTAAAAAAGTACATTGTATGCCATGTGAGCCCCTTAAAACCAATCATTGTTGCATTGATGATACTTTTTCAAGGTTAATAATAAAATAATGAATATTTATACGGTGCCAGTATCCACCAAACAAGATTCTCTTGGTGCACATTACAAAATACAGTTTCATGTTACATGTAAATAGGAAATATTGTGATCCAGTACAGAGTTTTGATCTTGAAAATTGACTTTCTACATGAAGTGATGCATTGTAGCCATACTAGTGCCACAATATTCAACTGTTTTTATTTGTTTCTATATTTCTTTGTATTTCAGATTATTCAGAGTCTTTACACAGACTGTTTAGAATCAACCTCCGATGCCCTCGTGCCACCTTTTGTAGTCAGACATGTCTCAAGTGAAATCAACTCAAAGGTAATGATATGAACTCATTCTCAATGGGGAAAAAAACTGTGTTCACATCTCAATTTGCTCATCCGTAGGAAGTGATTAATACCGGCGTTTCACAATAGTGCGCCTCCAAGAGTTTGCAACAAGCTGGCCAATCACAATGCGCGAAATCCGCCGACCCTTTCGGAATGCGCACTGGGTCAACAGATTTTGTGCATTGTGATTGGCCAGCGCGTTGCAGATACTTGGAGGTGCACTGTTGTGAAACGCCCATATTCAAGAAGTAATTAGATACAAATAAGTGTCCAAAATTGCCTCCACTGCAGTCCGTTAACACCCTTTCCGAATGCGCATTGGGTTGACAGATTTCACGCATTGTGATTGGCGATTGGCCAACGCGTTGCAAACTCTTGAAGGTGCACTGTTGTGAAACGCCCATATTCAAGAAGTAATCAAATACAAACAAGTGTCCAAAACTGGTGGTGCTTTTTGGCAGGTGGTCTTCCACTGCAGTCCCGTTAACAGGCCGGTCTCCTAGTTAAATGTTTTTTTCTTTTACCTGTTTACCAAATGTAGAAACCATGTGTTAGGGTCAAGGTAGTATTAAATGGAAACTGATATCCCCTCTGGGGTTTTTCTACAGGATTGAGAACAAACTTCCACTCTTCTGTACTTTTCCATTTGCAGTTGTAAATTTAATCAGTGGCAGGTAGTAACAAACACTATTTGATGTTTTTAAATTACCGCCATGGGAACGAACTGTGGCATCTAGTCGCCTGAGAAAGCAAGATTTTGTCCAGGGAAAATTATTATTGAAGATTATTACATGTAATACTCGTACCTGGTTGAAATTTGCTTGTGGCTGATTTGTGGAAGTGCTAAAACAACATTTCTAGGTTGAATTTAGTCACTATCAGGTAGAGCAGTCTGTAAGCTTAAATGGTGAACATTTTGCCAGAAGAGAACCTTTTAGATACTTAAAGAATTAGTTCCTGGTAAACTACCTACCCTGATTGGCCGATTGAACAGTACACACCAACTAAATGGAAATCTCCACGTGACTTGGGCTTTTTCCCTAGAAATTACCAAACTGTCTGCAAAAAATGAGTGGAAAATACATCATCAAATGTGAATCATTCCCAGTATGTTTTTATCCTCTTATAAAAGTTATAAATTAGACCCCTGAACCACACAGGGTCCATAAAACCAAAAAGTTTTTTTATTTTGTATTAAACTGGGGGACCTTCAGTAAATCCTCCTTTTCAAAGGAACCCAGTGAGGCTTTTATGTTTCCAGGTTGGCATCTGCAATGAATAGTCTTTGATTTCTACTTACGCCAAATGTTGGTGTAAGCATCTTGGAAAGATTGATAACTCAAGACATGGCCATGGGATTTTGGGGGATGGATTACAGAGCACCTCAAAGGAAAATGTGTTTTCTCTGATTTTATCCGTTCAAATAAATATGGAAGCATCCAAATCGAACGCAGTGTCATTCTTCAGAGCTCAACTATGAAAAACTATAATAAGCTAAAATGGGCTTTTTTTCTGTTCATGCCAAGATGCCAAGAGAAAATGACGGGAACCCTCGCCCTGTCTTCATAGTGGATGAACCCTTATGTATGCCAAATAACGCATGTAGCGATTGTTTGTAGCCATTGTTTGGCATGCACAAGGGTTTATCCACTACGAACACAGAAAACCTTGTTTTCTCTGTTCTCACTGAATGACGCAATCTACATCCAGAATTTGCATCTTGGCATGAGCAAAAAAAGCCCCTTTAAGCTTTTTATAGTTGAGCTCTGAAGACAAATGACACTGCATTTGGTTTGGATGCTTCCATATCTATTTCAACAGATGAAATCAGAGAAAACATGTTTTCCTTAGAGGTGCTCTTTAAGCATAGTGTGGAATGGGGGAGTTCTTCAGGTCAAGATTGAATTTTAAAGTAACAGGTGTGGTGAAACTGGAAGTTATTTTGCAGGTGGTCATAAGTTCAAAGTCAAGGATACATATAAAGGCAACTTCTTATTGATAAAAAATGGAACTCTTGCAAATTAGATTTATCTTTTGACTTTACCTTGGGGTAGTGGCAGTAAGAATTTACAGGGCAAATTCCTATCAAAGAAATGACCAAAATGTTGTATTTTGAAACTGTGGCATAACTCTTTAGGTGCCCCCCCCTGGAAATGGAGCCCCACCCCCGAGATTCCCCCTTTAATAGTCTTTTGATGTTTTTTCATCTTAGCTACTGTGTACCTTAACGCCGTGCTTTGTAATCTTAGATATTGCTGAAGATTGCCAAGGGACTAGCCAAGATGTTACCAGACACCCCACTCATGCTGATCAGCGGCTGCAAAGATGACGTGGCTGCCATCTGCATGATCCCGAGGGTAAGCATCTCACTGAGCATTCAATGTTACCAAGACCAAGACCTAGCTCTAGACAAGATTGGTTTAACATGTACAGTCTGTCTCTGTATAGAAATGTGCACAGTTGCACAGACGGTTTGCAGTGACATAACAGTTCTTTACATCATTCAGTCTGGCTTTTTATGAGGTTTACGTCTCTTGGTGACTAGTTCTCAGGAGTGATGTTTGCAGTGACCGCACAGAAGTCATGAATTTAGATCAATTTATGCACATAAAAATAACAGTTTCACTGCAGTTACATGCATCAGAAAAAATGTGTCAAATTCATTCATTAGAACCATGTACAATGATCTGCATCATATGCATATCATTCTCAATATGCATAAAGTATGTGCGGTACACTTCCAGAGCATAATATGCATATGATGCAAGTTGTTCCGTGTGGCGTCTTTTTCTTTCTACCGGAATGGTTTCAGGAATGTTTCTGGGCCCAGTTAGCAGAGATAATGATAATGTAATGCCATGAACGCAAGCTCCAATGGCAAATACACGTACATGTATGTGTGCTTGTAAGTACACATTAGTACTGTTGCATTGCTTTGTTACAGCCAGCGCTGTGTATATAGAGAGTAGTGCCAGCTTCAGATTTTGGAAACAAAATGGCTGTTTGTTACATGTTAGGTAGAGTGTGCGGCTATTGGAGCCATGTATGCAATCACACGTATGGAGCCAAACCACGGTTCACAACCATGCACAGTGCATGACATTTAGATGCTCAACCAACCATAAAAACTTCACGTGTTAAATTAGGTTCCTATAACATTCCGGCTTTATTTTCCTTTAAAAAAAAACCTCCAAGCCCACAATTTCAACCTGGGATTCGAACCCACACCCCATGCGTCACAAACCATTATGCTGTAACCGCTTGACTACCGCAATTCACACAAGTTGACAGTGTTTTTACTGTTGATATACCGATGAACGGCTGCAACGCGAGTCTTATACACATTGGACATGCGCAATACAAACACAACCACTGTGGTTTGGCTTCAAATGTCTAGTTGCGTATATATATATATCGTTGTGTGCGTACGTGCACTGGTGTGGTGCATATACCTGCCATTTTGTTTCCAACACTGGTGACACTTATGTCACAACTCTCTCTGTACCCGGCTCAGGCTATTACTTCCATACCGTGTGTGTCTGTGCAGGGTTCCAGTGGTCACAGGTTGACAGCCAGTGCCTGGATGGATCCTGTGATGGAGCTGCTACAGGGCAAGGGTGGTGGCAGTGCTACCTTTGCCAGGTCACAGGGCAAAGGTCGCCACAAGGTCAGGGAGTGCCTCTCAGTTGCCGAGGAGTACGCAAGGTGTGCAACAAACAAGGCACAGGAATGAAAAAGTGTGTACCACCAGACTCCTTGCAGGTGCTATTCAGTATTAGCCCTCGTGCTGTAAAAAGTCATTAATTCTAATCTCCAGAGTTGTGGTGAAAGTTATTTAAAATGAGGGATGCACAACCTTTGCTTATTTTGGTGTACATAATTTTGTTACAAATTTATAACAGTAAAAAAGTCTGTGACAGCTGTTTATAATCATATATGCTCACTATTTCTACAATTGATTACTTTAGAAACCTGGTTTTAGTTCTCTTAAAGTAATGCAACGATATCATGGAACTTTCCTCTGATATGGGTGATATCAAAACACTGGATCCCCAACTCCCAAAATAATAGTATTACTTTGTATCATGTTTAGCATTCTGTGGCTTTTTGTTGGTCTGGCTGTTGTGTGTTTGAAAAGACTCGGCGGTTCTGCCACACTGATGAACTTTGTCCATCTTTGGTGCTCGGAGTCTAGTTTCCTTGTCCTTTCTCAGTTGTTTCATCCTTGCGCCCGACAGCACCAGGCTGCAGGTATCACGCCAGTGGAAGACGTGTGCATCGTTAAAGGATATTAAAAATTTACTATGGCTTGTCACTGAGATTGTGGTTCATGTGCTAGGAGCTATCGTGGTCTACAGTTCTGTTAAAAACAGATTTTCTTTCCTGTTGCGGAAGTACTTCCAGATCCCCAACCAGACTGACCACTTCCCCTGACTGTGTTCCTTTGTGAAACCACCATCTGTTGGAGAGCTGCTGCCAAAATCTGTCCACAAACTGCTTTCTTCTAAAATCTCGACAGAAATGCCCCAAGTATTCCGTCAGCTGGTGTTTAGATACGTGAGGTATGTGCCTGATGGGTGAATAATGCTCTCCTTGAACCGTGGTGAACTTTATCAATGAATTTAACATCAGGTTAGCATTGGGGGACTGCCGTGGGTGAATTTCAGGAGTTTTGTGCAGGAAGGCCAAGGACAGTTGAATGGAAAAATAATTTGCATTGATTGATTGATTTCCAAGAGCAGTTTTTCCAACGTCAGTGGAAAGATGTATTCTTCCGTTCAGCATCGCTCAGTTTTCTAGAAGTAAAAAACAGGGTGATAGCCAAGTTTTTTGGGGAAAGAAATCGGGTGATCTTTGGAAATCTTTCTATGGAATGATCTCTCTGTTTGGATTTCTCACCCAGGAAAGCAGAACAAAAGTGAAAGCAAAGTTGAAGAAATGGCGAATGTTTTTGAAGATGACTTTTTTCACTTAACTCATCACTGGATCACAGGGAATGTGATCGTGTTTTTTGGTGGAGATATTTTTTTAATTGTTTTGTTTTAGTATTTTAATTTATTTATTTAGGGGAGTTTTGTGATGGTTTACTTGTTTCTCAGACATGGGAATGCTGCTGTCTGACTTTGGAAATCAGTTCCCTTCAGAGGGAATCTTCGCCACTTAGGCATAGGAACTTTTATATTGTTGTAATTGAATTTTGGGTAGGGGTGTTGTGGGGATACTAAGTTAATAAAGTGAGAAATGCGTTAATAACCGGCCTCTTTCACTTCTCTGCAGAGGGTAATTTTTGTTAACATTTTTAAAAGCCATCACCCAGTCTCTGCGTATTGACATAAAACCTTTTTTGATTTGTGACCGGTGAAAGTGGAGAACAGTTTCCTTGGCTGAGATCATTACAAGAAAAAAGGGTTTTTACAAAAATTTGGTAAGAGGATGTGAAAGCACAGTGCACACATTTTCAAATATAAATATACCTCCAACTTTTATTAGGCAAGCTGCCATAAACCACTGACGCATATTTAGTGGGGTGTGCCCCCCCAACATGTTGGCAGTTTTTAAGAAATTGTCGGTATCTTCGAAACGGCACTAACCACCTCTCTTTGGTCAGTGTGGATTTTTTCACAACTGAAGGGAGAATGGACAGTTGTTCTGGGAAAAAAAAATCCACCTCCGAACCCATGACCTCGGACCCTTTATAGTAATCAGAGCAGTATCATTGAAATGGCGAATTGTAGAGTAGTCGCTGTCATTATTACAACCCCTGTGTATATTTTAATAACTGAAAAACCATTAGTTACATCTGATTGAGTACCATCTCATTGGATTTCATCTAACACTTGCTGTGACGTGTAAACTCATCCAAACAAAATAATAATAATAAAGCATTGAAGGTGCATTTTAGATTGTTTAACTTGCAACAATAGCGGATAATTTTTCCACTTTGACAGATACGTTTATAATCTTGTTCACATTTCCCCCTTTTATTCAAAAGGGCCTCTCTGGATCATTGATGCCATCCTACGAGAAGAAAAATTTCACTTGTCATTTTTTAAGGGATGGAGGTTTATGGAAAAATGATCTTAGCAGGTGCACCGCGACCACTAAACGAAACCACAGCTGGGGAACGGGGATATCCGTCTCCAAAACGTCATCAGTGACACAGCTCTGAGGAAATGGTTTTCAAATTCGACACCTCGTTGATGTATGGGGACAGCTACTAGAACCGGCATTTGATTGCACTAGCTTGCTTTACGATCGATTCAGAATTTGTGTGATAACTTAGATTATTGTAAAGCCTGGATAATATTAAAGAATGCTGTGGCAATCCGGATGATCTCGTGATCTGAAAATTTTGCTTTTGTTTTTGTTCTAGACTGCTAGCCTAATGGCCACACAATATTCAGTACTAGAGAACTCTTCAATTTGACTGAAGGCTTCAGCGAATTACGGAGAAGTTATTGAAAACATGCATGTTGAATTCTGTCTATAAAGGGGCACTGCTTTTGTGTTTTTGTTTTGTGTGTTTGCGGTTTGTTGTTTCGTTTGTTTGTTTTTTAATGAAACTTTGGTGGCATTATTTTTTTCTATAAAGCTGCGTATCATAAACAAAGAGCGCTAAATTGTATAAAGGTAATCGTGTACGCGTAAACACTGTTACATTTCAAGTTCCAACTAAAATTCAAACATCACACTGGTACTTACGGAAGCGTACAAGGGCCACTTGCAAAAAAAAATGTTTTCGCTGCGGCGAAATACTATTTTGCCGCGGCGCCTTATTATCTCGCCGCGGCGAGTTATTATGTTGAATGTCTATTTCGCCGCGGCGAGTTACACGGTCTTGCCGTGGCGTGAAATTGATATCCCATGGCGGCAAATATTTCAGTGGTTTCATAAATCCTACTTATCGTGTCGTTCTCAGATGTATCACCAAGGTGGACTGCGGTGAGATTAGGTTTCAGATTGTTTTAATCCAAAGATTTTGTATTTCAACAAAGCTTGATTTCCGATAAAAAAAAACTCATTTGGGGTTGCGAATTTCCATATTCAGAAGCGGGGTAGACTACTTCGACCCCCAGGTTGACTGCTTGTTGAAAGGATTACGGTGCCTTTTCATGTATACCTAAACAAAATCATTATTTGCATATTCGCCGCAAGGGAACCCTGAAGGAACAGGAAAAAGGAAAGAAGCCAAGGAAATGAAATAGTATGAAAATTATCAATTGGCTTGAACTTGAGAAAAAAAAGATGATCGACCCCCGCCTGCACTTAAATGTTATTGTTTTAGCTAGACGCCCCCCCCCCCCCNTTAAAAAAAAAAGATGACCCCCCCCCGCCTGCACTTAAATGTTATTGTTTTAGCTAGACGCCCCCCCCCCGCCGAAAAAAATCCCAGCGATGCCCATGCATATTTTCAGCCAATGTGTGTCGCCATTTCAGACCGAACATCGATGTTGGTATCATTTTAACATTAAAATTTGCCATGATTTTGGAGATTCTCGTGGGCAAAAAGAAAAGTGGAAAGAAAGTGTATAGGGACACCAAGACCCATTTTTTCATTAATTGAAATCCCCAGGCTCTTTGACCTCACATCCATGCATTAAGTCAGCACAAACCGCCCATACAGCGCAGGGCGCTGAGAAGGGCAAAACAACGTGTTTGTGGAATTCTTAGTTGATGAAGTTCTTTTTAATATTTTGAACACGGGTCAACCTTCCCGATGCGCATGATGTGGGCAATCTACGTACATGCGGAATTAGGGTACTAAGTAACCTTAAAACGCTTTGAGCGTCCAAACCTGTGAGGTACTTCATGTGTTGCATTTGTAAACTTTTTTTTTTCCATTTTCAACTATTCAAAGTTCAAATGTAACTTTGAAGTCCGCTTGCTTTTATTTGGCGCTTAAAAAACAAATCCCAGGTGCCCCCCCGAAAAAAACCCGGATGAATGGATATTGAACAATGCTTACAAAAACTTGTCCTCCAAAAAACACCACTGAAAACTGGTGTCCCTCTCCCATTCGATGCTGGTGCCCCCTTTGTGCCCCCAAGTAAAATCCTAGCTAGGCCACTGTTTGCTTCAGCAGGATTTCAATATTACGCCGCGGCAAGATCTTATAACTCGCTACAGCGAAATAGACATTCAAAGATTTAACTCGCCGCGACGAGATACTAAGTCACTTCGGCAATATGGCGAGTCACCGCGGCGAGATAGTATTGCGCCACGGCGAGATAGGAACTCAACAAAAATTGCAAGTGGCCTTTATACGTTTCCATAGGTATACTCGCTCAATAATAAGAGAATATTTTAACAAAAGAAAACCCGAAATGCAAACTTGCTGTAAACGGTTACGAAGTACAAGTGATGTCTTGAAAGGTAGGCCTAATTGTTGATTCCGCAAGCCAAATCGTAGCCAACATTTTATTTAAGGATCAGGAAACGTGTGAGAAATCACGAGACAACCTTTAGACGTCTCAGAAAAGGTCACTGACCCCCAGCTACATCAATTCAAGACTGTGACGCGATCAACTTCAGGATGTTGGGATTCAATTAATTACAGCTATCGATTGGGGTTTGCCGGCGTTGATCTGACTGGCACGCCCTCTATTGTCGAGTACGCAATACGCATTAGGAGGAGTTAATGCGCATCAAAGGCCCTTACTTAAAGTGCCGTACTTCGAACTGATTCACCGACAAACCTACCGACAGTGGCGTAACTCTGCCCCCCCCCATTAGCGGAAGTCCGTGCTCACGGGTGCCCCGTTTGAAATCTAGAACTTCGTGATGCTATCGGGACCCCTTGAAAAATGTGGGCAACTCCATGTGCCCCCTTGAGTTTTACTAATACCCGTTTGAGATGCTCAGTTCCTACTTTGGGTCGCCTCACTTAGGATTTTGGAAATGTTCAGAAGGCAGATGCCTGTTGACCCTTTGAACCAAATCTAAATCTGTCCCTGTATGACGAATTATACCCCCATGCCCCCCATATAGAGACCACGAAGGAGGGAAAGACCAGACCATAGGGCTACGGACCAGACTGACCCCACCCCCAAAATTGAAGTACATGTATTCTTTCAGTTTGCCATATAATCTGTTTGCACTTCTGCGAAGGATATGTTGCAAAATCCTGAAGTTTTCTGGCTAAATTGTTAATATTCAACCACGGAGCTATCCTTTGTTATAGCTCCATGCATGATTCTGCCGTGCATGTTTATACAGGATACACTTCCCCTTCCCGGCTTTTGTGGTCTGACCGCTGAAGCATGATCAAAGCAGACCGTTCTTGTGGATGGTTCAACCATGGAGGAATAATTCCTCCATGGTTCAACCCGGTCCTTGCTCTATGGTTCAACAACCCCGGTAAACAATAATCACGGCAATTGTGAAGGGAATACCAGCATTTTTAGGAGTTCCTTAATTATTGATGGGGTTGAGATGGGGGCTCACGGCTCCCCTCCCGTCCATACCTCCTCCTGGGTAGCGCCATCGGCGAGGACAGCGAAGGGAGAGCGACGCCGATTACTGGGAGTCCAGCAAGTCACGGTGGTCACACAGCCCCCGGTGGTCATTCTCATGCCCCGCACGGTGTATACACGCCACCAGTCCCCTTAATCCCGAGTATTATTCCATTTGTAGCAGTTTGCACAATAATGCGAAATGCTACACCGCGGATGTGTGTTCTGTATACATGCCATTATTCATACTCTTGTTCACCTCTAAAGCCGAAGACAGAGGCGAGAGGCCGTATTTATACCACAGTGGGTCGCATTAGGTGCCACTTGAGCGCTCGCTTTCTCCTGCCAACTCCCCCCCCCCCATTACAGCTGTACTCCTTGTTACAGAGTGTAAGAAAAGATTTCCGAAGAGACGGGATAAAATGCAGGGTTCTGACTTCTTCTATCTGTGCCAAGGCCGAGAACATACACCCGGGCTGTGGACGGAGGCCGCGGGCGGTGGTCGGCATCGGGAGAGGCAAAGGAGGAGCCGCGCCGGTCTTTCAACCCCGTGTTGACATTCGTGATCACCTGGTGGCCATGGGCCCATGAGCAGATAAACCCAACGAACTTCCAGTAGCTTAGGTGGTGTCGCATCACTGGTGAGTCCTTTCCGTGTTAGATCACCGAGCAAGGGACTGAAACACGTACATGTACAACCTACACCCCAGCATTATGCACTATAGTTGCCCCTCCAGGCAATCGAGGGAAAGTTTACGTGTCGGAAGTTTCAATTAAGAACCCGGTTATTATGCGGGAACCTCTTTTTTTCACTTTCTCGGCTCGCCTGAATACCAGTGGTGGTCACGGCTGATTACGGCATTAGTTGGTTGTTAGGCCGTCATCATCATCATCATCGTCATCTCCAGCATATCGGCATCTGCTTCGGGCGACGAGCGGGACACGCTGATATTGCCCCCTTCAGGTTGGAAGACTGACCGCGGAGAGTGTTGGGTCCAGGTGGGCCGCGTCAGCCCCTTGAGGATATCAGACCGGTGGAATCTCAAGGGGAGCCACTGAGTTTACTTACTTAACTCGCCGTTGACAACATTGGGGATGGTGTTTCATGAAAACACCGGAGATCACCTTGTGATTACACCCGTGGAGCTCGAGGGTCGTTTATGAAAAATCACACCGCGCGCGTATGGTGGGATAGTTACTGAACTCGCATTATATTTATTATAAAAGAAAGGACAAGCTACGGGTTGGTAGCTTGACTGTTCACGAGCTTTCTTTCTTTGGCTTTGCACATTTTTGTTGGCACCTGGGAGGTTTATTCATCTCTGTGTGAGGTGTGTTTCAGTCATCGTTCAGTTTCTCAGTGACTGGCTCTTTGTCATCATAATAACCCCGTTAAACTGCCACACAAGATCTCTTTCCGCGTGCATTTAGGAAGTAGGTCATCGACACACAGGCCCGCAAACGTTACTACACGCGACCGCGCCGCTTTAAGTCGTCTTCAAATGTTGCCAGCACTGGCAGTGCAGCGAGTGAAGGAGCAAGAGTTAGTTGGCGGGGATTTTCTTCAAGGCAAGTCGGCTGCCAACCTGAGCCGGAGTTTATGTTGCTGCATCTGCTTGATAGCCGCGTAACAAGGACACCGGGTGACCTCCCCTGTCTACCAGTTGACTACTATCGCATTTCTGGACATCTGCTTCAGTGAGACTTCACCCGAATTCACATTAATCTGAGCGAGACCTGTCTCCGCTAACGTATGTCTATTAACCGGAGAGTGTATTTAAAATTGTAGCGAGTAGGCGTGTGTTTAACCTTCCAGTCCCCTATGTAAGGCTTCGCCAAGCTAGAACCCCACACAACAAATACCGTGAAATTATAAAGCCAGCGGACTGAACATTGCACATGTATTGTAGACTGTGCACTGTACATGTAAGCACTCATTGCATCCATGTGCCGTCGTTGCTTCTTCCATCAAAAGTTTCTTAAACTCGTCGAGTGTGTCTACTTGTCTTGAAGGCGTGTGAACTACCGGCATGTTTTATCATTGACGGGTTCTGTAGTAGGGTTCACCCAACACGCCTCGCGTGATCTTGCATACGGTACAACTGCAGTGGGCCTACTCTAGCATGAGAATCTGTCCGGAGTTTCACCCGTCAAGCGCAGGTCTTCCGATCGCAGAAACAAACCGCAATATTTACGCTGTGCCCGGTGTACCCTGTTGTAATTTCTAGGCCAGGACTTGATGAAGTGGAACCAGCCGTCTGAATTCGCCGAAACACATCAGCACCGAAGGAGACCTTTTTTTTCAACCTTACAACTGACGGAGCTAGCTTGAGAGGCAATACTACCTTTATTGATTTGTGACGTAAGAAAAAAAATCGCTGCAGCCTTGGAAACCAGCCAAAAGAGAGGGGGAAAGTTTGGTAGTTCAGAGTGTTGGAGGATCAAGTGTAATAAAAAGAGGAAATTGGAGAAGAGTTCCTCACTTACGTAAAAGGCGGACCGTGAACTATTTACTTCTTCATCGCACAACGTTCGCCGTCGGAAAGACTGTGAAGGGTTATATAAGTGGGAGGTACAGTCGTCTCCTCAACTTGTTCTCCTCTCTCCTCCCATTTATTACCCGACCCGGTCTTCGTTGTCGGTAGGGGGCCTTGCTGATTGGCAGAGGACGACTCAATCTTGACGAGAGGGACTCGCTGAAGCTGTAACTATGGCGAGCGATGGGGGTACATTGCTCATACTTGTATCACTCCTTGGGTGTCTGGATGTCTCCGTTGGGGAGCTGCTGACAGAACTACCGTACCGTGAGTTAACTTTTCAATTTTTCTGGTCCTTACTTGCCTTGCTTTTACTTCGATATCCCTTGCTACATGTTATCCTTTGAACCTTTGGCACCTTCTGTAACCGTTCATAGTGTATAATCTCGTAGTACATCACCATTAATTGTTGGAAGTAATCAGTCACGTTTTTGGTTGTCCGAGAAACCGATCGTCACAGTATGGGTCGAAGTTAGGTAACTGTGTGGTAATCGGAAGGAAAATGTAATGACGTCTGTCCTGAAATCGAAGTCATCAAATGGAATTTTAGGAGCTCTGCAAATTTAAACATTTTCAAGCGTGTCGTTGGATGGAGAACGTTGTGACTTTGTGGAATTTTATGTAGAGGTGATGCGCTTTTTGATAAGTTGATCAAACTTTCAAAATTCAAAACTTCGTGGTATTTCGAAACCTTGCCATCGCAGGTTCCATTGAAGCTGTATATATCTTAAAACAATTATATTTTGAACATGTACCTAATTATATTAAAAGGGTATCAATGATGAAATCATGTCTAAAACTGGACTAAAACAGAATGAATCCAAGTTTATTCTGATAATTCACACGATCGCAGTCGTAAATTTCATTCGCCCAACCCGATTACTGACAGGGTCAGACGGGACCTTGCGTCAGGCATGGATGTCGAGTAAGGAAGGATTCAGGCTTGTACGCGCATGAACTTTGGATGATGTGTTTGCGTCTGCAAGTGAATGTTCGAAACAGATGTTGACATGCCCAGCACAGGCGGACATGATGGTTGTTTCCGAATTCCAGACCCGATATCTTAATTGAATTTGTGTCAGTTTGGAGGACACTTAATACAGATCTCATCAACCGGGCAGCTGCGTTTCATTGACAAAATTGTTTGCGCCTGTGGGAAGAAATTGTACCAGTTGGGGTTGTGGCTAATCCGTGCGTAGCTGTCAGTAAAAAATTGACTTTTTAATTTTTAAAACCCGACGGATAGAAGGATAGAAATATGATGATATAAAGTCAGAAAAAGTGATTAAAAATCACATACCGTACAATTATCATCTGATTACACTGTAGTGGGTTGATTATAAGGGGTTGGGCTCAACTGGCATTTTCTGAAAAATGTTTACTGTGTGGAGTTTTGTTTTTAAAATGTAGCGCACTATTTCATGAAACTGTTGAGACGAACGAAAAGTCTTTGAAATTGTATTCACTAATACTTTGGAGTGTTGAAACTTTACACTAATTGATTTTGTTGTGTACGGGGCTAAGTAAGGGAACTTAAATGTGTCGAAACATGTTTGGATTGTACAGAACCTTTGGATTTGGTGTGGGCCTACATTACGTGGAAATCTTCGTTAGCCGAGAATTTGGTCCCCTAATCGTTACATATCATAGACGTTGTAATAATGGAGAGATGTTACTGCTTTATAAGCCATTCAAGACTTGCACACATAAGAAGGCTTACTTCGGGCAGTAATTACCCGATCGCTCGTTTCGTAATCCTGCATCAATTCGATGGAGTCTCCTTTTGTTACTCCTCAAGGGAAAGAGTGGTGGTAGGATTGTCTGATGGGGTTTGAATGGGCCGTCTTGTAAAGTGCAATTCAGTTAGGAGAATTTTACAGGGGACTTGAAAATTTCAATGCCATTCTGTCTTATTCTTTATGTAGACCATAGAGATAGGCAAAGACTAGGCAGGGAGAAGTTGCCCTTGCTCTCTCTCGATTCACCTTTGCCAGGAAGGGAAAAAAAAACGGTTCTCAAGTTACGATGTCAACATCATGGAACAGAGTATAGTGTCGTCTGGAGCTGTATCTCGTACTGTCCATCGCAATGTTGCATTGAAGCTTGGCAGGTCACTTGAGGTCAACACAGTTTCCTCTGAACATGAATGTACATGTATGATAGAGTGACTGACGTACACGTTTCACCGTGCAAATAAAACTACGTCACGCAGCCGGCTACACTGCATTCTCAGGGGTGTGATGTTCTTACCAGCATGCACGTGGATCTTTTCTCTATGTCATCAGTGAGAAGTATTCAAACATTAATGACGATGAAGTTGTTTCTTCTTTCCTGACAAGACTTTACATAGGCCTGTTGTCGTTGTCAACCTTTCCCCATCTGAATTTACTTGCCCTGGGATTAAATGCGCACTTGGGCAGAACTACTGTATATAGACCTACATAACCTCAGATGTACGCGTCATATTGGTGCATGCAGATCTGTGTCGTTTGCAATGACGTCATTATTCTAACCTGTCTTTGGCCATACATCTTATTCACCTGGCGTGGTGCGCTGATCAAAACGAGACTGTACAGCAACAGAATACCGATAACACGACCGTCACATTAATAATAATGGCCTTCAAAGGATAGAAGACATGGCGTAAAATGCAAATGATGTACAAATACTTGTTTCGGTCATTGTATTGCATGTATCGATTCAAACTTGTGCATTTGACCTTTCGTAGACTTTAGCTATACACTCAAAAACATAAGCATGGCATAAATCCTAACACCTCTGGACTTCTGATGGCCTCCTAGCGTAGTCAGTCACACGGGGAAATCCTGGCGATTAACTACTCACCGTCATTTTTACGGGGTCCTGCTCAGGTTTATTGTCGCACTGTACAACGCGAAAAGTCAGTAATTGAAAGAGGAAACAACAGCTGGTTCATGAACGGCCAAACGAGACATCAGTACGGGTACTATCGCTTGCGACTCGGGAGTGATGTGTGTGTGTGGGGGGGGGGGCACAGGTTGTTGCGGTAACAGCGAAGGTCAGCTACTAGGTCATGACCTGACTAGGGGAAAGGGAGCAATTTCAGGTCAAGGGTAGGGTCAGCGGGCTGCAGACAGAGCAGGAAAGGACAGCGCCAACCTTAACCCCGGACAGGCTCGATCGAGGTTATGATGCTCCGTCCGCAGCGTTTGTCTGGGGCTCGCTCTATTATGCTCCGAGCTCGCAGCGTGTCCAGACAGAATCCTCTCACCCTTGAAAGGATGAGATGTGTTTGACAAACTGCCCTTTTCACTTTCTGTCTCTTGGTGTCAACAACCAATAGGCCTGATGTTTTGATAGGTGAAATTCAGGATAGTCTGTAGATTTGGCCTTGAAATTACACATGTACCCATATGTCTATGACGGGGGAAGTTGCGTTCCGACGTTCCCTATCATGCGTCTGCCTGAAGTGTAAGGCGTATCCCGATGTCTTCATAGGCTCTGTGCTCATAACCTTGAATTTCCTATGAACTCTTTTTTATTGAATGTGTTTTGAGCCCGCGAATCTTCGTCGTGAATTCCCCAGGGTCTTGCATGCGTAACTCACTGGACAAGAGACCTTGAACACGCGTGAATAGCAACAGAAGTGATAACATTCTGTGACTTCGTTTTCAATGCGAATGGACACTGATTTGGTTTTTAGCCATCACACGAGGCCTATTTACGTTTTGTCCCAAATCTGTAAGGTGTTGTGGGGATTACTGTGTTTACCGTCGTCTTTCGTTAGATTCCCAGAAGATGAAACGAAAATCATCTGGATACGTAACTGTCATTTCCTAACCGTTTGTTGGAATTGTTTGCTTAATGTGAAAATTTAAACGTGACATGCCGATTTATTTTGCAAATGACTGCTTTTCATGTCTCTTTGGGCGAATGTTTGCACGTGGCGTGGAGAGATGTGATCCGAAGTTCAAGCATGTAGCACCTATCATGGGACGACCTGTACCAAAGGTGGAACCTTTATTGCCGAAATAGGCACCTGGAGCGACCCCCGACTACACCCCTTGAGACCCACTAAAACGTCACGCTGAACACGGCGGACTTCATACGTGCCCGATCTTCCCCCGTACCGCGCCGCGATTAACTCCCCTCGGCCTTGTAGAAATTCCGAGTAAAAGTACTTTTGTTGGAGTGGCTGCAGACATTACGGGAAGAATGTGCACGTCATTAGCGTTGCGAAAACATGTTGTAACAGTAAAAGAGCATGGCCATGTACCCCAGAAACGTGCTTGCGCTCCCAAAATAAAGGGGAGTTGAAAGGAATTTCTGGACACGTCAAAGTCGCTCGAACGCCGACTTCCTATGGTATATGGACAAATGTAGTGACCATGGAAACTCTCGCACTGGTCACTGCTGTGCCCCCCCTCCGCCAATGGTGGTGAACATTCTGGTAACTATTGTGCGAAGCATGGTTTGTGTCATTCTTCCATGTTCGGAGCCAATTGCTCTCCGCCATACAAGTGGTGGGGGATCAGGAATGTCGAGTGAAATGTTACTTGATTCGACTATACCGAGTTTTATAATTTTCATCTTAGTGGTTGCCATGCCGTGAAGTGGATAGTTCAAGGGCCGGGAGGGCACTCTGGTCATTTAGGTTGGTGCTGAATTTAAGAAGTCTGAACTTACAGTGGGGGAAGGGAGGTGCCCCACTGCCCCCGGAGCTTGATTTGTTGGATACGATTTAACTTATAAGAGGTAAAATGGGCCGTCATTTTTATTGATGGTTTGCAAATATCATCGTTCTGATCCGGAGCGCTGATCATTCATCGAATCTCTTCAGTTATGGCGATTTGGCACCTGATGTTTATCGCGTGAACAGCACACAAAACAGAAACAACCTTAGATGGCAAGGTTAGGACCGATATAGTGCCAGTGGAAGAAAGCATAAACTTTCACCTTCATAAATCCGAGTTAACTGCCCGTGAAGTGACAGGTTAAAATTCATGTGCCTCTATACAGGGTGTCCATTTACGACGGCATCAAATTTGTCATGGTGGTACCGTTGAGTACCTCGTTACCAGCCATAAATCGAAAGCAGATATGGAGTGATTGTTTGGTTCAAGCTGAGCCCCCGTCAAGCTACCGTGCTGACAGTTTTGTAAACAGGTTGTGTGTCAGGATCAGCATATGTTAAATAAAATACGGAGATTAACGGTCGCAGTTGGTGGGATTCTCGTGTTAACAAACATCGCTCATTCCTATAGACAAGCATCGCCCCTCGTATGAAC